TAACAGGGTGACTCAATTCATTAGGGTAAGGTTAAGGGTTAGTTAAGGGACCCTTTCCTAGTGGACTTCTTGTTGCAGCACCCTGTAGTGCTCCTGAATACTAGATGGACGTGTTCATATGTACGAGTATGCCCAACCACTTTGTCATCCGACTCACGTACAGGCAGCGTATGCCAGCACCCCAAAAAGGATTGTCCACGCTCTGGTCAACTTCAGCATGGGTCGCTCTTTGGCCATCAGCTCGATTAGATGTTGTGGTCTGGCTCCGCCCTTGAAGTCGTGTTTTGTGGCTTCAACGTAGCAGACCAGACCGACTCGACGCGACCCGACCGTATGTTCCGATCCGATCCGGTCTGGTCTGGTCTCAGCTCACTCCCTTAGACAGATAGAGGGGGACGGGGTAGCGAGAGAGAGCGGTTGAGAGGTGTTTGGAAAGCTTGCGAGTGTTAAAAAATGTTTTAGCAGCGCATTTTTGAGGTTAACAGCGTGCACGTGCTGGCCACAAAGGGAGAGGGAAAGCGAGGGTGAAAACGGGGTGACAGAGAGCTGAAGCGTGGACAAAAGGTGGCGACTCTGACTCTGCAGACAATGGCGTTGAGTGCTGCCAAGGCAATGCCTGGGGTTGTGGCAGGGTCCGGGGCAAAAGATTTATCTAGCCACGATGTACGTGATGGCTACAATCGTGTCAACTGCTGTTGGACTCACATAAATTATGACAAATACTCGTATGTGTGTCTTGTAAATCTCAACTAAATCTGCACCGATAGCATGTTCCATTTAGTATGGGAAGAAGGAAAGACAAATACACTACAATCATTGAGGCATAAATCCTGATTCCCGTTTTATTATCTGTCCGGGGGCCTTAAGGCAAATGCAGCTACTTAAAGCCAAACAAAGGCTTTATGCTTTCTACATTCTCCATTAGAATGCTCCAGTCACAAGACCCAGCAGAGCATTAACGAGCATTCGCCCGGCAGGATTTTCAACTCAGTCCAAGCCTTTTGCAGAGACTCGGAAAGGAGAAGCGAGGGTGGCTAAGACTAGGCCATATTACTCTGCCCTGCTCTTGTGCCTTCATTGTCTGCTGCGTGGCAGGGCGTTGAGGAGTTGAGTCGGAACGCATCCTTTACCAATGCCGAACCCATGAAATCCGAAATCTGGGTAGCCATTAACATTTACGATTTCCAATCCGTAGGTCAAGCTGGAGCTGGGCAGTCGCACATGGCAGATGCTTGCATCGAAAAATCAGTTGCAGGGAAGGCGAGCATCGAAAGCTGGCGATTTGGAATGCGGATTGGGGTATGCCAATTGGTAGGCGTTTAATGGGCAACACGAACTGCAAATACATTCAGTGATGGAGCTGGGCATGGACCTTAGCGACTGCGACATCCTGAAACGAAAATGCCAGCTGGATTAGGTCTGGTCTCTACTATTTGCTTGCAGTTTATCTCCAAGTGCCTGTTGGCCAGTGGCCCCCGCCTTGCTCTAAAATGGATCGACTTGCGGAGTAGGAGGGCCGAAAAGTCTGCCCAAAAGATTACCATACAGCTGCCGAAGGGCAAAGTTTTGCATTTTAATAGTCTCTTAACTGCCGGCCCATTTCAATGTGTGTGTTTGTTAAAAACCGGGGAGGCAGAACGAGAGGAAGGCTAAGGGGAGGAATAGATTCAGAGCACCAGGTGCTGCTCTAATTCGTAGAGAGATTTGTATGCGATTGAATTTTCAACTTGGTTGATTTTCAGCTCGGTTGCAGGGCACTTGAAATGAGAGCGTTCTCATGATCCGAGTGGGATGTTGAATGGGTAAACAGTAGCCATCTGAAACAGAAAATGTTTCACAGAGTTTTCCCCGAAGCCCAGAGACAAAATAACATTGCAACTATGTTTTATTAATGCCCAGATTTTCTCTTGAGCCTACGGTGCTTCCGACTTCCCCATTGCTGCGAAAAGCATTGGGTATTCTATCAGCAATTTCAACTGGAATTTTCGGAGATTATTTTGACAAGCCCAGAGGCAAAACCAATTTAAGCTCGCCTTTATGCATATCTCACAGAGATACAGGCTGCGAATAATTGAAATTAATTAACTCTTCTTGATCCATTCGAAATGCAATCAGCAAAAGCCAACTCTTTCGGTGGAGTCTCGCTGTTTGGCTAAATTCTAATGACTCAGCCATTTGGCTTGATGTGTGGCCATCAGCAGGAGCACCCTCATCTGGGGCCAGCAGCCCAGATCCAAGCACCGCCAAGTCACGTTCTCGTTTGGCTCTTCTCTCGGCTTTTTCCCATTCTTTCGCTGAATGTACGAGTAAACTCGTATGTATGTGTATATACCCCTCGGTTTTTGTTTTGGAAGAGATTCGTGACGTGGCGAGCTTGCTTCCACGCTAATGCACGCTCTGCAAAGTATGCAATAAATTTGACGCATGCTTCACTGTGGGTGCCTGTGTGTGTACCTGTCGGTGGCAGAGTGGCACTATGGTGGAGGGAAGCAGAAGCAGCCATCAGTATTATAAACATTAACGGCTTTTACTTACTCTCGTTCGCAGTTCGTGGGCGCTTCTTTTGCACTTGACAGAAAAGCAAAAACGCCCATGTCTCTCCAGCATCGTTGCAGCGATTTCTCATGCGCCATGTGCGCGGTATTTGAGGCATGTGGCACCGCCTCTGTCCTGCAGTGAGATAAAAGGCGACAAAATGTTTGCTTAATAAGTTTCAGCTACACTTTTGCCCGGGTCTCTATTTGTTAATCCCATTCAGAGAGTGCAACCACATGAAAGAAAAGGAGAGACAAACAAACAAAGTCTCCGCTGTCCCAAACGACTACCTAGAATATTCGGTGCGCGGCTGCCTTTGGCCCACTCCTCGCTTTTGCGGTCATTGGCCAGGGACTCTAGCGTAGCCTATCGCCATGCCAGGCACGTTTAAATTCATTTAAAAACTTGAATCCACTGTCCGTTAAAGGTCAAATTGAATCAGCCCAAGAGACCGCGTGGGTGAAAATAGGGGTAAATTGTTCTCAATTCTGTGCAACTCTTTGCCTACAAATCAATGACCTGTGCAAGTGAAATATTGATTTCAGTTAATACAAAAGGCCGCGGCGCTTGTAATCTCTGTCGCTGGTGGATTCGTACATATGTATTTATGTGGCAGCCAGTATGGTAGCTTCAATAAAGCGTTAAATCTGCATACAGGCACACATATGGATGTGGCACAGACAGGCTCAGTCGGGAGAGACAGTGTTGGCATTCAATAAATATGAAACACATTCATCACTGTCAGCTTATGCTCCACACGCTCGTACGAGTGTTTTAGCGAATCGGGACTTTAAGGCTCGCCGGAGTGCGTTGCCGCTTTAAATTCAACGCTTAATGTCCTGGCAAGATGTCAAAGGAAGCTTCGTGCTAATGAAATATGTCTCACACCCACACCCAATAGCAGTCACCCACTTCAATGTTACGTATACGCACTGCTGGCTAAGGCCTGTTGCTAAATGTGTAGGCAAAGGCTGTCAATGGATTTTGAACGCGAGCGCTTTAAATGGAATTTCTCTCGACCAATTGCCGGCTCTGTTAGCTGAACGAAATTTCAAATTCAAATTTGTAAGAAGCAATTACCAGACTGGAGCTTTGATGTGGCTGTTTAGATGCTTTGAACTCCATCCAGTGAAAAAATACATAAATAACAAAGCAAAAATGCGCACAAAGTCAGCGTACAATTAAGGAGATCCGCTCCTGACTGATGGCTGATGGGGCCCTAGTCGGAGCTATTTCAACTTTGAATGTCTGCGACATTGCCCCCTAGGGGGCTGGGAGAAGGGGTTGCGAAGGCGAGTTCCCTTTTAAACGTCTTAATGGCTAATTAAATGAAATTGAACAGGTCCGCACTTAATGGCAGGCACAGGCAGGTGTATTAAAAATTAATAAAAAGAGAAGGCCAAAATGTTTAGAGAGCGGCGCTCTGCTGTGCTGTGTGGGCAGATGGTGGCTGGTGGTGGTATTGTTGTTGTGGGGTGTGATTCTTTTTATTGGTTCCTGTTCATGTCCCATGGCTTTTTAATTAACTTTTCGGAATGGCGCTGCCAGGCCAACGGGTTTGGTGGGCAAACTTCCACCAAATTCTCCTACAAGGCAGCGAAAATTTGATAACATTTAAAATGCTGTCTGGTTTTCTGGGCAGTTTTGTTTATGGTGCACCACATGGCGTATGATTAATGCTTATTTCCGTGCCTCTTTCTGTCTCTTTCTCTCTGTCTCGGTCTCTGTACATTTCATTAAATAAATTGTAATTTATCAAACGGCCTTGCGGCAAAAAGCAAATCAAATAAATTACAGAGAAGTTGAACAACTTTGACCATTAAATGCTGCAAACCAAATAAGGCCAATGACGATTGTTTTATTTTCTTTTTTGTTGGTTTTATTTGCCAACCATTTCATTGCAATTGATTTTTGGTGTCAGCTGCACGCGCAGACAGAGACAGGCGTGTCCTTCCTCTCGTTCCCCCAGCTCCTTAAATACCCCTGGCCCCCCACACCAGGACTCGACTCGGCTCAACTCGACAAGTGCTGTGGCTGCGGCTTAAGTTTGTCGGCAAATTGAAAACTTTGTTGGTTAACTTGGCTGTGAAAATAGGGCTGGGAGAGCGTGGCAACGAAAGGCAGGGGAAAATAGGAATGCCCCAAAGCCTGGGCGCACATCAATACAGCATTCTTTCGTCGTCATCCCCGCAATACCACCATCGCACCGCTCCGCACCGCACCGCCTCCCAAAATAAACAGTCAACAGGACAAGCCGCCGAAACCAGAGCTTTGGTTGCCAGTTGTGGCTCCGATTTCTTGCTCCGACCCTGATTGCATTAGCCAACAGAAATGGGACGGACAATCACTCAGCCGCCGGGGCATGGACTATTTGATACCGAGCCTGCTACCTAAGGTGTAAAAGCTCTAGTAGGATAAAAATCTGTAGCTGTTTTGTTTTGCCAACTAACAGGTGTTAGAGTAAAGTTTTACTATTTAAAATAAATAAATAAATTGGCAAGGGGACAAACATAAATTTAAGGCGCAAAAAGTCTGGTCAGTGAATGAAGGAATGATGTGAGGCTTTGCAAAAGCTTCTTACGACTTTGGTCCAGACAGGAGCTCAGGACCCGGCCTGGCACCTGCTCATGACTGATGGGGTCCTGGGCGCCTTATGGATCAGAGCAACGGTCTCCTCGTCGTCTACCACGACGTCCGTGCTGGAAAAGGGGGAGTGGCCAGTGATCTGGCTGTAGAGAGGCTGCATCACCCGAATGGTGGATACCCTCTCTCGCCAGGTGCGCCAGAAGTACGACTTGAAGATGTATCCCCCGAACTCCAAGATCATCGGCCTCTCCTGCGACAGCGGGGGTATCAGCTGTAGATGTTTGTTGACACTGACCATCATAAGGCAGCGATCAAGGTAGCGGTAGAAATTGAAGCGAATCAACTTCAGCGGGATGAGGCTGACCAGCTCGAAGCACTCGATCTCCGGATCGAGGCCATTGCCATAGCTGCTGGACACGCTGCCGGCCTGTCCGTGCTTGAAGAAGTTGTCACACCCAAATATAATGCGGCTGGAGGTAAGCGCAACATGGTACTGGCGCAGTCCTATGCCACGGCTATCCACCAGGGTGAAGGGGTTCTCGACCAGCACTGGCTCGTAGATCTCCTCGAACTCGGCGAGCAAAGTTTTCTGCACTCGGAACATCACGCTGGGACGCCAATAAAGACGACAGCGACAGAAACTTTGGCAATAATTTAATTGAAATGTCAATCAAACTTTTGTAGCTCGTCTGTGTGCTTTGTCTATTTATTTGTTTGTATTTGCTGTCGATGATGACGCCTGCTTTGGTATCGAAAAATGTAGAGCCATGTCGATTCTGCAGATCGTCTGCAAATGCAAATCCATTTGCATCTACAGACTCCTACCGACTTCGGTGCTCTCTGGATTAGCAGAAGTTAAATTTGCATAGGAATTGAAATTATGGATAAAGTATGGATAGTGCGAGTCCCATGGTCAGCGAAATAATCATTCAGCATGGATGACGACACCAAATGCTTGCATTCGGTGTAGTCAGTCGAAGGAAAGCGACAGCGTTGATGAGCATAATGATGCGCCCAGCCGGAGGACACCAGGAGCCGTCAGAAGAACTTCCAGTAAATGGTACATCCGTGCCGTCGTTCAGTTTGTTCTTGTCCATTAACCGTAATGGGAATATTAGACAAATATAAGATGAACCTGCAGGACAGGCCATTGTTCAATGATTAGATTTAAAAAAGTCTTTTACTCCCCATTCCCATTCGCTTCCTATTTCCCAGACTCGTTGAGAGTCCAACCAGTTCGTTGCTCGAGGAGCAGTTTTTTCACACTTCATTTTCCTGTTTTTCCTTCGACATGGTTGGTAGTTCTTGGCCATAATCTTGGCTTATGACTGCCGCAGCTCACTTTCATTTTCGCTGTTCCCTTTTTCTGTCAGAGCAAACACTTTTAAAATATTCTGATTTATGGCAAACTTTCTCCTTGCGCTCTCAACTTTTCACAGTTGCCAGTTGGCACTTTCCACGTCCTTGTCTGGGGCGGAAATGTTGCGACTGGCACTGGCACTGGCATTGCCGCTGCTAGTACTACTGATTCTCTTGCTGCTGCAATTGGCGACAAATTATAAAAGAAAACTCGTTGTGTCTTTTGCCATGCTCTCTGTGTTGAAGCTAGAGGGGCGGGTCCAGGCCGCGGGCTCCTGCTGCTGTTCACTTTGTCAGCTATTTAATTTAGCGACGCTTGCAATGCTTGCAATGCTTGCAACGCTTGCTGGGGGCAGGAAGAGTTGGAGCGCGAAGTACTGTGTCAAGTGGCATCCGTGCAGCTTTCAAAGCAATTAGTTGCAAGAAACTTACAAGATCAGATCCAGACGAATAGTCAAGCATAACTTATGCCAGTTTCGAGTTTATCTTCAGCTCCTGCTCTTTGCTAATTTTCCCGAATTCCCCCTGGCATATCTCCAATTGCATTGGTTGTCTGGTAATCCCTCGTTGATTAAGTGTCTTACAGGCCATCGCCTTGCTGTCACGAATCACACAAGATACATGACCATTTGAACCATTCGTAAGCAGTATACAAATGAGGTTTGCGGTCTTGCCGAACATTTGGGGAATTAATTAAAATTTTCTCGTTTGGCATGTTTATGATGGCAGTCTCAATTAATTTCAGGGCTCGTTGAGCAGCAGCAAGAGTGTTGAGGTTCCTTTGTGGGCCCACCAATTAGGATCTTTGTAAGATACAGGCACTGTGAAGTCTGCCTCTCCTCCGATGGACATATTGAAGTACTCTGCCAGCTCTGCCGCATAGACTCTCTACCCAGAATGTGTGGTGGGCACATTTAATATGAATTGCTCACTTGCTGCTTCTCATCGTCGTTGGGGCAATTAATGCCGTAAATGTGTTTCATTGTCACCGATCACGGCTTGAATCACTTGATTTTCATTTTGCATTATCCGATTACTACTCGGCATGCTATCCGTAATTGCCATTGAGTGGAATATTTACCGCCAAATGAATTTTCCTCTATCTCTGTGCCAGTCCACTTTTCCCTCCTCAAGAGGGGCCTAAATGCAGCAATTACGTATAAGCACCAGAGCACACACACGCATATGCACTACTCGAGAGCGCCCCTGGGCGTGTGTATGTGTTAGCCTGTTTGTTTGTTCTGGCCGCTTAGAACCGCTTTTGCGCATTTTATTTCAAACATTTCACGTTTTTATTGTTAAATGCGGCGCAACATAAAACAGCAGTAGCTCCCTACACATTCATGCATATTTTTCTAGTACATATTTTATTTCCGAGGGGCGGACGGGCAGATTACGGATGAGGATCCGGGTGTTTTTGTTAGTGCGGATGTTGTCAAGGTACCAGTAACATACACACTCTGGGGATTTGTGCTGTGACCCACTGCGTCACAATTTGTTGCAACATCCACTGGTTTGTTTGGGTATATTGGATTCGTGTATATTTATGTACATAGAATGCCTTTCTGATAGCCCAAGGTCGTACAAGCACACAATATTATTCAAGCAGATTTCAGTTGGGACTAATCGTTTCACAGTTGACGTAGGAACAATCCATCAGCAAGGGTATGAGAAGCGTCGGCCCTCAATGATGGCCCTTCGTGTTTATATTTATTCAGGACATAAAAGCTCTGCAGTGCACAAAATTAAGTATACGCATTTGAGGTGACTTCATTTAATGACTGCATCTGGCCACATACGTTTGCGGGCTAAATATGATGTGGCTTGTCATTGTGCGAATAAGAATGGAACGTAATCCAAGCGAAACTATTTGAGTGGATGAACATATATGGAATTTAGAAACCTTTAAAGTGCTTTTTACATTTGATTGCAAAATGGAAGGCATTTGATTGTAGGAAGATTTAATGTTTGATCTGAAGATATGGAAGCAGGTTGTAGCCAGCAAACAGCCAGTAAAATTTACGAGTATATTCCTTGCAAACGAAAAACAAGCCGGAGCTAAAGTACTTATCATACAAACACACATTTATCCTTTATAGCCAATAAGTCATTGAGCGAGCTATACTTCTGCTCCAGGCTCGATTCAGCCTGATGGGGCATAACAGACCAAATATCCAAACAACAATTGTGTCTGTCAACTTTTTGTACCAGCGTCTCGGGCTAGTTTCCTTTGTTATCTCAATCTGCAGCTGCCGACAAACACCCACTCACATATACAGTATAGTGGGAATATACATATGTTTCTGTGTCTGTAACTACGAGTAGTGTGTGCACATTTTCCTTTCCATTCACATGTTCCTACAGCATCCTCACACGACTGAAGCCATTCTAGGAGCCAGCATTTGGCGCTTATCGCACATCTCATCCCGAAAATGTCAACCGGCACATTTGCACAATTGCTTCTTGGAACTGACACATCAACCACGTTCAAATTTAAACGTAAACGTAAGAAAACGCATTCGCATTCGCATTCGCACTCGCCCTCGACTCTGGGGCTAAGCTGGAACTGAAACTGAAGCTTGGATGTGATATGCCATCGTCTTTGCCATTCCCACTTCCAAGCAATGTCTGAATTTCGCCTGGAGCCTGGAGTGGTGCATGTTAGTTGGGCTGAAAAAGTGCGTGAACTCAAAGTTTTTGTATTTCAGCGATAGGTTGCATATATATATACATATGTACATATATGTTGAACTTTTGCTAAATTGTCTTGTATTGGAATATCATTAAAATAGAATGGCCGTAAAATTCGGAATAATACTCGTACTAAACACAATGGTTTCTACATCCTATGTTTAAGAGATCACGCGCTCATCTCTAATGCAAATATATTTCCGCCCCCCCCCTCACTCAGTCCCTAACAGCACCTCAATGTCTGTCTTTTTCAATTCCTGCTCCTGTCACGTATGGATGGGGGACTGGGATCTTTGCACTTGAGGCAGATTTTGTTTATGTGCCGGAGCTTCCTAATGCAATCCACGTGTGAACATAAATGCAATTGTGTTAGATCCTAGTGGGAGAGGATTTTACCTATATACTCAAAGAACTTTGGTACAGATTCGTCCATGATATCTCGACTTGGGCATCACATTTGGTGTCCGTAAGAAGTCCATTTCCATGGAATGGTTGACTGGGCCGGAGTTCAGGGGTTTCAGCATGGTGACAATGCAATACAAATATTTTGCCAGCATTGTGTGATCTGACATCCATACATCCAAGGAAAATAGCCTTGGAATAGTTGTGCAACATTTTTGAACAATATGCAAAGCATACATCTCTTGTTGAATAATGTATGTGTTAACGAGACATCAGCAGATTAGGCTATCTCTGGCCCTAAATATTTGAGAAGCCCTTGGCCCTCGAGGTCACTCGAGGACCAATGAAAGCAATTAAAATCAGCAATTTAAATCCAACAAATAAACAGCTTGAAGTAACCTGCACTATAATCAGGGCTCTGAGGGAATTTTGTAAAGTAGCCCACAGAAAAGTTTGGAAAAACGAGCTTTTTCTCTGATTTATTTTTGTACTTACGGACCGATTTGTCGCACCCTGCGAGACAGCAGAAGAAGCAATGCAGTAATCGTATAAGGAAATAGGTCGTATGTGAATTTGGCGTTCATTTGCTGTTAGTCATTATTTTGGGCACTGAGCCATATGCTGTTAATAAGGTGTTGAGCAATTTAATTTTATTGTTCTAGTACCCCCTGGCACGCGCGCACACACAGGTCCGGACACAGACGGAGACAGGCCCGGGTGCGGGGCTCCTTCAATTTTAATTGGCTCCACGCCCAGCAGCACGTGAGCCAACAAGCGGTGTCCTTGCCAACGGAATGTTACCCTATCACAGGACACTTCCAGCCCACTCCGAGTCCCCATATGTCGGCCTCCTTGCCTTTCGTTGCTTTTTATTATTGCTCATCGCTTTTTGTTCTTTTCAGGCTTGGCAAGACGTTAACATGTAGTCGTTATTTAATGCCAAAGAAATTGCCATTGGCATTTATTGCCGTAATTAAGTGATGGAAAAAATGCGCGAAATGCCACATTCAGGCGGTAGGTTCCAAACCAAACCAAGCCCAACCAGTCAGCCATCAAAGACCAGCAACAGCATCGACATGGAAATAAATTTGTTCCAGCCACTGTTCAAGATTTTGCAATTGCGAGCCGACGAAAAACGTATTTTGGTTTTTCTGTTAAGTGCCATTTTCGTTGTTTAGGGAACGACCTCCGC